CCATCAGCCTTAGTAATGAGATTGACTCTTGGAAGAATGAAGGCCGTAGATCTAGATTAGGGATCTTAAAAATCAAGGGTGAAAATGTAGCCACCCTTCTACAAGCCTTCACTCAATTGTATAAAAGGGGCTTGGTTTTCCAAGCCTTCTCTCTCCTCTTTTGAGTGAAAGGCGAAGCTATACCAAAATTTGGCCAAAATCCTAATCTTAATTTTGTTTAGACTTAAAATCTCATTGTGAACCTTGTGATTGTGTGTGTATGGATTTTGAACAAAGCAAGCCTAAGATCCTTCTTTAGCAACTTCCTAAATCATCCAAAGCCTCCTAGAACCTTCTAGGATCTCCTATGACCTTCTAGAACTTTCTTAGAATCTAGTGGAACCTTCTAGAACCTTCTTAGAACCCACTAGAACCTTCTGGAACCTCCTAAAATCTCTTAGAACCTTCTAGAGCATTCTTAGATCCTACTTGAACCTTCTAGAACCTTCTAGTACCTTTTAGAACCTTCTTCAATTATATGTCCATGACAATTAGAACTCTTTTATTCAACTTTTTGTTTGGTTTTTTATATAATATATCTATAACATAGATAATAAGATAATGTGGATTTATAATTAAAAGGTTAGATTTTATTAATCTTATCAGAAAAGAAAGATTCTATCTTTTGCTTCTTATAATAGTTGTATGTAGGCCATACTTATTTTAAGATCTATGTATTGTAAATGAAATGATCTAATCCAATTTTAAGAATGTATACTTAGAAATGGAATTGTTATAAGATGATAAAGAATAAAATAAAATACCTTTATAATAAAAATGATAAAATAATTAAGTATATTATTTGTTATTATTATTCTTTAATATTTAAATGTACTTCGATAAAAACTATAGAATAAATTTAAAGATTTTTTTTGCAATGATGTTGATTATCAATTGACTCAAAAACATCAAAATAAGAGACCAACAAAAAGGAAGATATTAGATTTTAGAATCTTTTTCTTTGATGAAATTCTTCAAGAATCAAACAAAATACTTACTAATTTTCTATTGATATTATTGTAAGAAAAGAATTGAAATGAAAATGCTACAAATCAAATGTTTATAGAGCATATGACATGAAATTGTGACAAATTAAAATGACTAGTAGAAGAACTTGTACGAAAGTTGAATGATGAATAATATTTCATATATTTGGATATCTTTGTTTCAATAGATAATGATCTTAAAAAAATTATTTTTTGAAGGAAAAAAAAAGTAGAAAATCATTTGTTTAAAATATAATAATAACAAAGTTCCAAAATAATATAAATATTTTTTTGTATATTATTTTTTTTAGAATTTTTGTACAACTTTTAAATGGTAGATAAATTATACATTCTATGTTTGAAATTTTATTCCATCTTAATGAATATTTACTTTGAAATATTATAAATAAGACATAATATGAAAATATACTAAAAAAAGATTATTCTTATCATTTGAAATGATATACCAATACAATAGTACTATTATGTTGAAATAATCAATAGAACTTTTAAAGATATTTATTATATAAGGCTTTTATTTTTAAAAGTTTTTTTATAATATAATATTTATACTTAATATATCTAAGAATAATTTCCATTTATATATTAAAAATGAATAAACAATTGGAGTGTATTAAGAAATATGTTGATTCTTCCAAAATGTATAAAAGTAGGTCCAACTTCAAATGATTTGATTCAAGTTGTCTATTCTAGTGTCATGGACATATACATTTATCTCAATAGTTACTTATATAATTACGTAGAAATAGATAAATATAGATTAATTTCATAAAGTCTTCTAGAAAAGCTTCTTAAAAGCTTCATTAAATGTGGTTTTGACTTTAAATGTGTTTGTAGGTTAGAAACTTGGCCAACAAGTTAACCACATGTTGGTAGCTTATGAAACAAGTTAACTCCATGTAATAGCTTGTGGAACAAGCTAACTATGTGGTGCATACATAGATAACTTGCCTTGCAAGTTTAGATGTGTGGCTAGCAAAGTCAACATGTTTCGGAGGTCCTATAGTACATTGCCAAGTAGCTCCTAATTAAGAGTACATATGGAGGCACTTTTGTCAATGCTTTTCTAGTCCTTAGTTTTATTTCAAGACTTTCTAGTCTGCTTATTTTTGGCAATAGTCATTCCAGTTCAATATTATATCATCTTTGAGTGATTTTCTAGGTCCTTTCAATGACACAAGAGTACATTGAGGATTTTCTTTCTTCGAGATTTATATCCTTGACATCTAGAGTATATGAAGATAAGACATTTGGTGATGAATGTTTTACCAACATGTCTATTTTATCTGCATAAATACATGATGTTGATGATCTAAACATATCTCCTAGAGAGATCTTTTGAAATTTCAAGTATTTAACTTAGCACAAATACATCAATTATGGAAGATAGTACCAACAATGGTAATTTTTATTTAACTATATATTTGAATAGCTTAAATCTATCTAGATTGCCACCATTTAATTTGGAGATAAAACTTGGATATTCTATTATATTGTTGCAAAATATTGCTTTGCATTAAAGACTTTGTAATAGATTATGCTTGGTTATTTTGTAGCAAATTGATTGGATTGTAGAGGCAAGATTGTTATTTGAAGACAATAAGAAATGATTGATTTTTTTTTTCTAATGATCACATTATGTCCATCATCTATAAGTATTTTGTTCAAGTTGTAGCAAAGGTAGTTTCTAATAAAGATAGGATTTGCAATGACCATTAACAAAACTCAAGGATACATATTAAAGAATATATGAATAGATTTTAGAACCTTCATATTTATATATAGACATTTGTATTTTGTCCTTTTACAATACACTTCTTTAAATATGATCAAGATCATATATCCTAAAAATAATGAAGACAAAAATATCATCATAGATATATTTTTTTTCAAAATTCTTTCAACTTAGTTATTTAAGTTTTTATAATAAATAAAATTATATTTTTTAATTAAAATAAATAAGTATAAATTATTCCATTATTCTATATATATATATATATATATTATCAATATTATTTATAAAAGTGGTCAATTTTTAACTTAACAACCACAAATTAAACTTTTACAACTTTTTTATAGCCAATAGCATGGATTTCTACTAGTGTATATATATATATATATATATAAATATATTAATATATACTTTTTATTACACATGTATATTATAATTTAAAGATATCATTTTTGTTTTATAATTTTCAAACTATTATTTTTAACATAATAAAAGTTAGACATTTTTTACATGTATTTAATATCAATATATAGATTTCAAAGTCTATAAGTATATTTTGGTGATATTTTATGACTTGAAACAATGTGTTTGAAAACAAGCCTCTGAAATCATATTCATAATAATTGAAATAACATTTAGAACTTAAAATCGAATAAAAAAATTAAAATAAAATGCACAAATAGTATAAAAATTTGCATTTTCAATTTTTTTTCTTTCTAAAATTACATCGAAAATCAAAACACTAACACCAGCAAAAGTTTTCAAAGAAGTGCAATAACGTCACACCCTCACTCGAAACCATCGTGCTTTGGTCGCGAATCAAAAGAACGCTGGATGAACAAGACAAGAACCCAAGTCCACGCTGGACGCAGGTCCACCCATTCGTCATTTCCGACGTGGCAGAATTGGTCTAGGTGGCGCATGGAGGTGGCAGCCAATAGCCACGAGAGCACGGTTAGGGCTTCGCTCTCTCTGTCTCTGTCTCTCCTTGTCACGTACCAGTGCTGTCGGTGCTCTTGAACGAAGCCCATGACTGAAGCTTTCAGACAGCTTCACGGTTGTTGCCGAACCGTCGAATGCCGCGCACGCATCGATCTCCGTGGCTTCAGGAGCACGCTTAATCTGCACACGAAGTGATACACACTGTATTGTGGTAGCGAGTAGGTTGTGCGGTGAGGAATTGGAAGGCGCTTGTTGAGCCTCGGAATTGGAGGAAGGAGGAGGGGGTTGGCTGTCATTGTGGTCGAGGAGCTTCTTTTGTGGCGAAACGATCGGAGATTTGAGGGCGGCTGTGCGTGCGAGAGAGGTGTTTTAGGTGTTGAGGGCGGGAGACTTTGTGAGAATTTTGAGGAGGAAGGAATTTTGAGGAGTCGGAAAGCTAGGGTTGTGACCGAGGTGACGCGGAGGAATTTTGGATAACCTGGTGCTGTTCTTGAGCATTGAGCAGAGTCGAGAGGGAGGAAAAGAGAATTAGTTTTGGTGAGGGGCGAAACAACAGTGAGCGGTGAGAGCGATACAGGGATTGCTTATTGGCGAAGTTTGCCGTTTGCAGAGAGGGTTGGAAACCGAGAAAGAGGAAGAGAAAAGTGAAGCCGTTGAACAGAAGGGAGAGCTGCCGCGGGTTGTGTTGTTCATGCAAAGAGGAAAGAGCCGGAGAGAAAACTGCGAGAGAGACCATCGTCATTGTTACTAGAGTGCCTTCTGGTGCTGTGAAACTGACTTTGTTAATCTTCGTGTGTGCAAGTCATCTTTGAGAGTGGTAAGGATGCCGCTGACGAGGGAGGATCTTTTAGGGAGAGCCTCTTGTTTCTGTGACATCATCTCTGTGTACGCTTCGATTATGCTCGTAATTAGGACGCATTTCATCAGAGTTTTCATGTTCGCTATCAGGGCGAAGCTCTGCTATCCTACGCATTCTGCGTATATTGAGCCGCTGCGGACGGACGAGGTAACCGCGGTGGAGCTCGATCCTCTCCTGTGGCGTCCGCCATGCTTAGCAACATCCGATTTCGTTACGGACTTAGGAATACAGTGCTCTGTACTTCCATTGTGCGTGTCGGAATTATGCTTTAGGTCATGTTCCGATGTGATTATGTTTGTGGGAGGGTGGCCGGGTATTGCAGAGTATGAATGTAGCATGTGCTTGTGCAGGGATGAGGAAAGCAAGAGAGTAAGTAAAAGGAGCTCTGTGAGAGAGAGGAAGAAGAGTGAGAGGGGAGAGGAGTGAAGAGTGGCAGGACAGTGCTTTGCAGGCACTCAGGTATTGTAGTCAAGCTGTAAGTGAAAGAATACTCATCTTTCATTCATCGGTATGGCGCACAATTCTGGCGAGCATGGCATGAACCTCGGATCTCGGAAACTCGTGGTATATGAGCTATCTTTGTCCATTACAAACATGATGCGTTATGTAGGTGCATGTATAATCTTATCTGTCCTTTAGGCACTTGAAGTGAAGACCTGCGCCTGTCTGCTTTATTGGGAAGTTCTGTACAATTGCAACACTCGTGCAGATACCAGTGACCAGTATTTATTTGTGGTTCTATTGATTATCTTGTACATGTTTTACAGTTGTAAAATTAACACAAGCTCCAGAAAATGAGGGTGTTTCTACTCTACTGTGAAAGTGATATTCATCATGCTACTATAGAGCTAAATGTACACGAACTATAATCTGATTAACTTGTGGTTCCCTTCAGGTTCTGGGTATCCCGTGGGATGTTGATACGGAAGGTTTGAGGCAGTATATGCTGAAGTTTGGTGAACTCGATGACGTCATTGTTATGAAGGTCAGTGGCGAGTAGAGGCTCTTAAGGCCTTTGACAATTCATCTCAATGAAACTTAGTCCTTGTGTATTTCGACCTTAGGGAACTTCCTCATTGTGGATTTGTTGTCACCCATCGATTAATTAGTGTCACATTGTTTTTAGAACCTCATCAGAATGTCTGCCTCACCGTGCTATCTTTTTCAGGATCGCGGCACAGGACGATCGCGAGGATTTGGTTACGTGACATTTGCAACAGTCGAAGATGCCAAGGTATGTTTTATTTGGGACAGCCAGATAGTTTACTCTGTTTCTGCTTTTATATATTGTATCATATTTTACTAAATTCGTATTTCATGCTGCGCAGAAAACAGTTTCTACGCAACATTCTCTAAATGGACGAATGTTGGAGGTGAAAGTTGCAACTCCAAAGGTACTCTTGCTAAGTTTGATGAACTTCGAGGACGCCGTTTGCATAGATTGATGGGCCCATCGCAGAGGCTTTGACTGATTGAAACCTACTTTTGACACTGGTTCTAGAATTTATATTTCAGGAATTTTTTCTAGTGTAGGTAATTACGATGTAGGTTGCCAGTTGTAACGATTCATTTGCTTCTAATCATGTTTTAGGAAGAGATGAAGCCACCCGCGAAGAAGATAACGAGGGTTTTCGTCGCCAGAATCCCTCCTAGTGTCACCGACGAAGCTTTTCGAAGGTACTTCGTCTTGTATTGCCTTTCCATTCATCATTTTGTTTGGGAGCACTGATAATCTTATTTTTTTTGACTTTTACGTGGGCTTTTTTCATATTTTCTATTGCTGCCTTGATATTTCCTCTTCACAATAGTTTTTTGACCCTATATACCTCTTATGAGCTATGGTAACTAATGTCAACCATTCATGGTGATATGTGTGCAGTTACTTTGAAAAATATGGGACCTTAACTGATGCTTACATGCCAAAGGTATTGTCAATCTTAATTTTTTTGCAATGTTTTTTTTTTAATGGTTTTATTCTTATTACAGTCTTCGGAAGTATATCCATTACCCAGGTATTGGTTGTTGCTGATTTTTGGTTGTTGTGGTTATTTAGGATCAAGGTTCGAAGGCGCATAGAGGCATTGGCTTTGTTACATTTGAAATTCCAGGTGAGACATGGGTCCAAGCTCTAAACCTGAGATTTTCAGTTTTGTGTTGTTTATGGCCCGATGGCTTCTTTTCTGATTAGTTACAGATGCTGTATGAAAAGTTGCGTGGTAAAAATACGATCCTAAGACGCAATGCTCTAGGATTTACGTTTAGTGGACTTCATGACTATGGAACAAGTGTAAGCAGTCATTGTAATATCTCGTATCAATCACTATACCCCTTCCATGAGTGCTGCGATACTGTTTAGACAACTGGGAATGGAAGTGATATTATTTCATCTCTCTTACACAGCAAAATGTATTTGTTTTGTTCTACAGAATCGGTTGACAGACTCATGAATGAAACCCATGAGCTTGGTGGGTCGACCATTGCTGTGGATCGTGCTACACCGAAGGTAAGAATTCTATACCTTTTTGAATAGGGTATATAATTTATTAAGGAACGGTCTGGTTTGCTTTGGAGAGTAGATGATGATGTTGAATAGTTTTATTCTTCTTTGGTCTATTATTGGACAAACAGGAGGACGGTGTGAAGACTTGGGGACGAGGATTTCATGGAGGCAACCAAAATTCTGGATCCAATGCTGGATCAGGTTCCTACGGAGCTTATGGTGTTTACACAAATACAGCCCGGTTTGGTGGCTTGGGAGGCGGATTTGGAGCTTATGACTATCCAGGTTCTGGTTTTGGAAGTGATTTAGGTCCATCTGGTGGGCTGAGCAGTGCTTATGGGGGTGGGAATTCCTGGCCCCCTGCTCCCTCAGGAGCTGGCTATGGCGGCCCAGGTTTGGGGATTTCAGGGGGAGTCTCCGGCAGCTTTGGTTCTGGTGGTCCACCGGTTCCGCCTCTGAGGGGGTTAGGTACAAAAATCTTTGTTGGCAGATTACCTCCAGAAGCAAATGCAGAGGATTTAAGGCGCTATTTCAACAATTTCGGAAGGATATCTGATGTTTATGTTCCAAAGGTAGGAGCAAGGCGTCTCTTTTCTCTCGGACATCTTTGATGATTATTGAAATTGACACTATTTTAACATTTCTACTGTCCATCTTGTAGGATGCAAAAAAAACATCACATAGAGGTTTCGGCTTTGTTACTTTCTCTGACGAAGGTGCGGCTGAACGAGTTGCTCTCAGGAATCATGAGATTCTTGGGCATCAGGTTAGGATCCTTGTCATTACTTTTGCAGGATTGCTTGTGTGCATGTTTGAAGGTTATAACTTTTACAATCGCTTCTAGGTTCACTTCCATGATCGGGTAGATTATTGAACGTATTTGTAGTGGTCTGACCTGGAGTTGTATAAATGGCCTGGCAGATTGCTGTAGACCGTGCAGCACCTCAGGACGAAGTGGCAAACGTCCCATACATGAGCGGCTTTGGTGGCGTGGGTTCATTTTCTGGAGGAGCTGGGGGCCCAATGAGAGGGGGTAATGCGCCGTTACTAGGAAGTGGATACGGTTCCTTGCCAGGCAATCTCGACTTCAATTCTGGGGTACGTTCTCTGTGCAATTGTAGCTTGACGAGGTATCTTTTCATCCAAATGTAGTGTGAACTGGTCCTACATGTTTATGCACTACATGTTGAGGACCACTGACTTGTTGAGGTTCCTGACAATACCGTGTCGTTGCCAGTGGGGTGCTTATGGCGGTGTAGGTGGATTACCATCAGGTTTGGACTCTGGACTTTCAGGCGGCCATCGCTCTTCTAGGTCAGAACCTCGCTACAGACCATATTAAAATTATTATCAGCGAGCTGCTCAAGTGAAGCGGTCAATATATGTGTGAAGTAGAACCGGAGGTTGTAGCGAGAAAGACCAAGAAGCTGGTCAGAGAGTTATACTGCGTGCAATCAAGGATATATTATGTTGGAAGAATATCGATTGAAGGATTACCTGTGGAATATCTTAGGATATGTCAGTCGCTCAGGGATGTTTGATCAGACCATTGTCGAAGCCTATATTTAGGCTTTGCATGTGGTTTACACCTTAATCAACTGTAATTTCATGTTCTAACTTAAAGAATGATCTATGTCAACTTTGAATAACCAGATTACCTTGCTAATAAGGAACATGATTTTGTGGATAATACCTGCAATTTTCAAAGCACCCTTTTAAACATGTAAGATAAATAAAACTGGATCCGACACAATCTATCACTTGCCTAGAAATATACCCTGTAATTCTGTTGAACTGAGTAACCTTCCAAGATGATATCTGCACCTGATTGAGCAATAAAAGAGGGTCCTTGAGAAGTTTGCAGAAGAATAACCCATCCACGAGACTCCTCACCAAGAAACTTGACGTTTTTCATTCAATCTAGACAACACTGATAAAATTTAGTTCTTAAATTCAAGGTTATTGCAATTTTTAGATTTTGACAAATCATCCCATATTTAGCTTGATAAGTTGCATTGGGTTAAAAGGAGATAGTTTGAATCTAAGTGTATTTAATGGGTCTCATTCAATGATGGTCTTAAATATGTCTTGTGCCACTTGAATAAATATGATTGTAGTAATTGTCAACAATGTATTCATTTACTTCCTAATCAAAGTATCAAGTGCTTGACACATATAAATACTAAGCCCATCTAATGCTATCCTTGCATGTGATTTGAAAAGTGCATATCTCTCATTGATAATGAAGTCAATTGGTAATAGCAATGTGAGCTCATATTTGATATTATACAATAAGTTTTAGTTCCTTGTATTGTTGTAATAATGAATTATTTAGCTACTTAAGAGCAATGAAAACAATATTTGCTTCTTTTAAGATCACTAGATTTGCAAATAAAAAGATCCATTATATCAACAATAGAACATATGTGGACTTCTTTACTTCTAAATACTCTCGCAGAATGATTTGATAAAGGTTAAACTATTTGGCAATTGCACACCTATTGATAACTACCAAATGCTTGCTATCTTTGAGTACATAGTTATCATTAAAGACATGAGGATTTATTATTGTCAAAGATAACCAATGAGAGGAATCAAGTTGCCAAAGAATTGCTTGTCTAAAGCATTGATAAATATGCATTGTATAATCAAATCTAGCTAATGTAAACCACAATATATTAGAATAATTCTAAGCAAAGCAATACATTTAATTTGAGAACTAATATCATTAATGTTATTAATCATGCTTCAATCATTATCAATTGAAATACCAATTTTTTGTTGTTTCCATGTAAAGTAAAGGAGATCCATAAATATATCAATTGTACTAAATTTAATCTTGTCAATGTATTGATTTAATATAGAAATAGCAAGCAAATAAAAAAAATTGCATGGCTTTATTGTAATAGAACCAATAAGGCATATTTAGACAAGACATATCTTTATGAGTTGAGTTGTCTAATGTAATTGAGAATGCCCAAACTTTTAAAATAACATTTGATAGAATCTCTAAAAAATTGCAAAATCAATCCAAGCAAAATTTGGAGCAATTATGTCATTGATACCAAGTAAATGACCAATGCCACAATGCTCCAATTTGGTGTAAATGAAATAAGTTTCTATTCAAAATATAACATCATATATTGGTATTTGATGCATGATGAAAAGTATCAAAATATCTTAATTGTAACCTTAAAATGAGAGATTTTATTGTCATTATTATTAACTTGTGGCTTGAAGGTACTAAGAGAGTATTAATGTGTCACATTTTCAACAACAATAAAGTAAAATAGAAATTCTTCAATAATAATTTCAACAATTAATATCATGTTGTTTCCAACATCTTTGCATCAAATATCTCTTGTGTAGTGCTACATTTTAAATGGCAATATGTTTGATTAAGACCATATTAGTATTGTAACTTTAGTTAATTACAAGTTAAAAATGAGAAACATTAACGTACACTTATGCAATATCATCTTCTTTACTTAAAGAACCAAAAATAGAATCATTTAAAAAAATTATAATATATTTTATGTATATGTTCATTTTTTATTGATTTAATAAGTCTCTAGCCTTCAAATACAAATTATAATGATTAATGATGTTGAAAATTTTTTAAAAATCTAAAAAAACTATGTCAACAACTTGAAGGTTGTTTTGGTATACCAACATTATAAAATGCATAAATGTGATTATAATATATTACATGTAAAAAAATTCCAATTACTAAAGTAGGTTCAAAGTAAATTCTTGAATTGAGTTTTGTCTCACTTGAAGTTGTGTGTTTGCAATGGTTGCAAGGTACACAAGATTCTATTGCAACTTTGCTTAATACTTGCACACAAATTGTTGTAAGAATTATTCTTCCAGCTCTACTACTAGTCAACAAATATTCTACATTTTTTGTAGGAATAGAGATACAAAAGATATATATCAACAATGTTGCATGTAGAGTATGACCAACCATGGTTTCTAGTTGCAAGAAAGCTTACTTTGTCTCAAAAAATCAACAAATTTGTAATGGTCAATCTACGAGAAATATTCATCAATCAATAAGTATAGTCCACTTATATCTTAGCAATTTAGCACAAATTTGCTATTATTTTATTAAATCAAAATATAACAAGTGAGTTGACTATTTTATCATACTATTAATCTATAGTCTCTTTAATTTAAAATTTAAAATTAATTAATTAATTAATTTAATTCTTTTATATATTCTTTATAAATAAATAAAATGTAAGGTGTCCAAGACTATTAGTACTAATAGAGAGGATGAGCAAAAGGAAGAGGGACTAAAGAGGAAGACACATAAATAATAGGTGAATAGAACTATGTCTTATTTTTGAATAAAAGTTAGTTTTGATTTTTGGTACTTTTAAAAAAATTAATATTTTCTAAAAATAAGAAGGCAAGTTAGTAGATAATAATATTATTACTACCATATCTTAAATTAATATGTAAAAATTTATATTATTCTTTGGTAGATATTTATTGAAACAAAGATATTATGTATTTCAATAGAAGACATTATTACTATTTACATCAAAATTTTGTTTGCATATTGATTTCAAGAAATAAAAGTAGAAATAGAATACTCTAAAGATATAAAAATTAAAGTTTCTTTGATTCTATATTCTTAATTTATTGCAAAAAATTTGATATAATATAAATAATATTATTCTTTCAATAATAAAAAAACAAATAAAATAAATAAACAATAAATTATTATTTACAAATTATTCTAAAAATATATAATCTTGAACTATTTGGAAGACATATCATTTCTTATTTAATAAATTATATAATATTAATTTTTGAGTTATAAAAAATAATTTTAAGAAATTAGATGTTAAAAATAAAAATTTGAAATTGATGATGAGACTACTAATAATTTCAGTTTTCATTCTTAAGGATCTAAATACTTGGTATCAAATAAATCACATAAACTAAATCAAATTCAATCAAAGTAGAAAAATAAATATTTAAAATATATTTATAATAAAGATAATGTCAATATTATCTTTTTAAAATAAATAATAGTTTTATTTTTTAAAATATTATATATATATATATATATATATATATATATAAATCATATTTGTTAATTTTTTTGAAATAAAGCCATAGTAATTAAGCATATATATATATAATGTAAAAATTATAGATATTGATTTTGGTAAATAATAATGATATAGATTTATTAATGATGGTAATAATTATAATTTTATATTCTTAATAATTTATCATAAATATTATTATTTTTAAAAAAATTGATTTGAATGTATAAACTCTTATATAGAAGCTTTTACTTTAACACCTAAAGATTTAAATATAAATTGTTTTTAAAATAATTTAATTTTATTTAATCAATTTGAATTCATCTTAATTCTATCTACATTACTTGTATCCTATATATATATATATTTTATATCATATTTAAGATTTGTTATGGACATGTGAGAAATTACAAGCTATTTTTGTTAGATTTTTCTAAGAATGTAGTTAATTCAAATAGATGCTTTGAAGAGAGATTTTTTATAATTATTTAGTTAAATAATAAATATTAATAAATTAAAATTTGAAAAGATAAAGAATTAGAAAGATTAAAAATAAAAATAATTATATTTTTATATATATATATATAAAAATTTATATAAAAGATATATCTATTTAAATATTTAATTTAGAAATATGATGTATCATATTTTATTTATAATCTTATTAAAATAAATAATAGAATTTGAATATTACTAATAATTTATCAAAGCAAGTTTCAATGATATATCTTATAATATTGATATTCATATAATGATTTAATTTGTTATAATTATTATAAAAGAAGATGTTACTTAATCATTATAATATTAACTATTATTATGAAAATATAACTTTGAAGTCATAATATTTAGCATCAACAAGATATACAAAGAGAATATAAAATAAGATAATTCTCACTTCTATTATCCATCACTTATAGATAGTAATTGCTGCCTTAATAGACAACTTTGATCTTTTGATGAATATATCCATTCAACATTCTACCAAGACTATCTATTGATATTTTTATCTACTATAAGAATATACTTTTAGCATATCTTCTATGTCCTTAAGATCCTTTGTCTGTTCATCTATCTTACTTCTCGGCCTTCTTACATATCAAGAGTCAATTTTTTGACTATTATTAAGTTATCTAAGATAATATCTTTTATAAAATAATTTATTCTATTTTTAATTTTACTTATTTACTTTAATACTCTTACTTCATTAATCAAAAGCTTTTAATTCTAATGCCTTTGTTAACATGTGATGTCTATTCTTTATTAATGTCTTTACCAGCAAGCATGACTTTTTTTGCACAATACTTCATGTCAATTACTCTCATTTCAATCTTCTTTCTTATCAAGTAATGTTGAATGTCAATGTATTTAGTCCTTCAATGATGGTATGAGTTCTTTGCAAAAATAAGACATCTTTGATTGTTATACTTCATTAGAGTTGCTTCCAATTGCACTATTCTAATGTCCTCCAAAAGTTGTCTAAGTCATATTGGGTCCATTGCACAATGACTAGTTGCTATATATTATACTTTTATTATAGACCTTAAAATTATTTGTTGTCTCTTAAAATTCCATGAAATAGCTTCT